GCTCGGCGCACATCGTGGGGAACACAATCGGCAACCTGGCTGGCAGATGATGCGTTGTTGACGTAACAGGTGGACATCCTCGCTCGATGCCAGTGGCAGGTTCGAGGCCGCAAGCGCGGCCGAGCCCGAGGAGTTCTCCACCGTCGGGAAACCTGACTCGCTCTGCCGGCCCTGCTCGCTTGCGCCCCGTGTCCAGCATAGAAGCGACGTCACGCCACGCTGGCAGGGTTTTTGAATGATGACGGGCGTTGGCAGAAAACAACGTTGACAACTTACTCGCGTTCAGATGCTGCCTCGGACACGTTAAAGACACTTAGTTCTTCGGGTCAGCCGCAAGGCCAGAACTGGCCATCGCGTTGAAGGACGATCGCGCTCGGTCCCTCCTCTGAATAGGAGCTGATCATTCGGTAGTGAGCGCGAGGTTCGTTTCCATTCATACAAAAGTGTGCAGGTGGCAACAAGGCACAGCCAAGAAGGTTTCGCAAACGCTTGAACAAGAATATCTGCAGAAGCTGATCCATGCAGAGTCCGGGTCTAAGTGCAAAGTGTTTTAATGCAGTAATAATATTCCAGCCACTTCCACGTGCAGGCGCAACTTTGGACAAGAGAGCACAATGAAAGACTTCCGTGTCAAGTCCGGACCTTATCCAGAAAGACTCAAAAAAGCACCATCAGCAAGCGCTCCACATGAGGAACTATTGCGTGGGCTCAGAAGACACTGCCTTCAATGCTTACATCCGCGTAAGGCGCACGTTTAGAGTGTGAATGTGATGCGTTTTTTCTAACATGGCACGCCATGGGTCTCTCATGCTGCCGCAAGGGTCAAGAAGTATCTTGAAGGCTTGTACATGGCAAAGATACAGGCCGGAAATATATCTCTGGAGAATATGGTGCGATCATTGCTACTTGTCTCAGGCTCACCACGACTTCGAAAAACGGACCATTGCTTTGCTCGATTTGGACGTGCCTCGTGATCTCCGATGTTACTTTGGCTTGACGCCTAAACAAGCAAGCCTGTTTGTCTGGCGCCTAAGCATTGATCTCAGGGGATTACATTGGCTTTGGCTTCCAACAAACCACGACCCCGCTGGTCCCCACTTGGGCTCGACCGAGCAGATGGTGTTTCTTGTCTTGAGCAAGGTAATTGAAACGTCATCATGTAACTTCGAAAGGCTTGACATTGCCACTCGCGCCGCAGGCAACAGTTTGATTCACTGCATCTGGAAGCGCTGCCAGTTGACAACAAGTGACATTCCTGCCTCCAAGGCCTTCTGACTCCGCGTCCGCAGCCAGAAATTCGTTCGCAGTTATGCGCCGCGCAGGACATGCGGTCCTGGTCCCGAATCAGTCGAACAAAGTGGTACAAGGGCTATCGCCGCTGTCGAGGTTCTTTGAGCGCAAAGAACTCGTGCTGCAAGCGTGTGTTTTGCTATGGGTGCAGGTGCAATCGCGGGAAGCCCGACTGCGCATCTTCGTGTCAAGGATTTGCGAGCAGGCGACGAATTGCTTCAAGGGTCCATACGTTTAAAAAACAGTGCTACATATGCGTGCAGCGCAGAAGGAATGGCGCCGCTGCACAATGAAGCACGTGAAGAAGGTTGGCGAACTAGTCCGTCTTCATGTGTGCTGCAGAAAGATCACGTTCTTCTTCGCAGGACAGAGCACCAGGTTCGTGGACACGTGTCTCATCGACAGCCTCAGGTGCTTTGGTTTCAAGATTCCTTACACCAGCAACGGTCCATTTTGGGCCCAAGCCGACGGGAACCGGTTCCTGGCACCGCATAAGCCACTCAGCTGCACGAGACTTATTCTGCGATGTCAGACCTCGCGCATAGAGCATATGTGGCAAGGCGCTGCTTGACTGCTGTGCCCGTTCACGCCTTGGCCTGCAACGGCAATTTCGTAATCTGCTTCGACCACCACTTTGTTGCTGTTCGCAGAGACTCAGAGGGTCTCTGGGTGAATCTAAGCCACAGAACGCATCAGTGGAATCCGATGCGTTTGTGTAGCGGGCGTGGCGTGCCGCTTGCGTGGTCCGAAGAGCAAATGTACTATGAGCTTCACTTCGCCGAACTGGACGGCGTCTTCCAAGTTCAGGTCCGAGTTTCGTTATTTCAGTTGTACATGGTTGTGGATGAAGTTGTCTTCGCGCTTGTCTGCAGGCATCTACCGAACATTCCAACTCACACGCGAGCGATGTCAAGGCAGCCGGCGCGCAGCTTCCGGTATGCAGTATCTTCCTGATGCGCCCGCGTTCATCTTCCTCACACGTTCACGTTCTCATTACACTTGCTAGCCGATGTCAATGTCACATAAGGAGCGAAATGAAGGATGCGCTGCAGGACGGTTCCCTCAATCTTAGCGTCGCCCAGGCGGGCGTGATGTCAGACAGGATCACGTGTGCTTGGAAGTAAACGCAAGCGCACGCTGCCTTAAAGGCCTCCAGCAACCCGTCGTGCAATCCATGGCGTCGGAGGATCGTCAACAAGCTTTAAGAAAAGGCGAACCAACATGCTAGACAATTCAAACTTCTCACCACTTGTGCGGTGTCAGGATGCGATCAATGATGGAGACGCCTATGCCCAAGCCGCCCGCGTTCATCTTCCTCACACGTTCACATTCTTATTACACTTGCTAGCTGATGTCAATGTCACATAAGGAGTGAAATGAAGGATGCGCTGCAGGACGGTTCCCTCAATCTTAGCGTCGCCCAGGCGGGCGTGATGTCAGACAGGATCACGTGTGCTTGGAAGTAAATGCAAACGCACGCTGCCGTAAAGGCTTCCAGCAACCCGTCGTGCAATCGGTGGCGTCGGAGGATCGTCAAGTAGCTTTAAGAAAAGGCGAACCAACATGCTAGACAAACTTCTCGCCACTTGTGCGGTGTCAGGACGCGATCACTGACGGAGACGCCCATGTCCCAGCCAGCAGACAGCAAAGACGTGTGGGCACGTCGCTTAGGAATGACCGTTGATGAGCCGTGGAAGAAACGTATTCTCGGAGCATTTATGGCAGACTTGGAAAACCATTGTGGGGAAGTGCCTGAGCCGCGGACATTGCCTCCCTTGCTATCAGACCAACAGAGAGAGACTTGTCCCCGAATTTGTCTTGTCGTCCGTCGGCTACTGTCATGGGTGAGTGAATGGCCGACACGGAGAAATGCACTGATCCTCTGACAATAGACGCAACTGGTGCAAGGAGTGGGCTCTATTCCGAGCAGAAGTTGCTCAACAAAAGGCCAAGGTGCTTTTGGCAGTCTTCACAGTAACTTTGCTATCACGCACGTTAAAGTTCGTGCGTTCGTTGCTGCAGTAGAAACAGCTGAAGGAAGTAAGCGAAAAAGAACGTCTTCGCTCAGAAAAGCAGGCCCGCTGCTAGACACTAGTGCGCTTGACTTGAACTCTTTTTCATAGTCAGCAAATACGTTGTTTCTGCACATTGCTTAGCAGGCTAAGTCTCGTCTGGAGGAGCGCGGAGATAAGGCTCGAAGTGAAAAAAGGTCAAAGTTTAAGATCAAGACTTGTTCTTGTGAATGCTTGAAGTGGATGTGACGATTGTCGCGCAAGTCACGCAAGACTTGAATCACTAGTCTATCATCGGTGCCCGTGAGGTTGTCATCCTTCCTCCGGACGGAGCGTTCCAAACGCTATTTCTTCCTCAAGCGTCGCATCTGGAACAGTTCACCAAGGATTGGAACTACGTCCTCATTCGCCGCAAGAATGCAGCTTTTTTGCCAGAAGCGTTTGCGAACGCACCGCCGGAGGACGGCTACTCCATGCACCCGCAGTCACCTTTACTTTCAAAATTTGGTTTTGGTGCAGAGCATGCGCGGGCAGATTGTTTGGTTTATTTGCCCGCATATCGTGTCGCGTGCTGGGGTCTTTCCCCAAAGGATGCGAATGCGTTGGCGCATGAATTTGTCATGCTCCTCGAGAACGCCGTGGCTCAAGATGTCCAAGGAGGATCGTCCCTGCAGATGTACTGGAGAATGTTTGATGGATTCATTGTCCAAGAAGACGCGTTGCGTCGACACTATCTACCGGTCAATAGAAGCTTACAGAGCATGGCCAGAAGCTTTTTGACGGTCAAGAACGCAGCTTCTTTTTTTGTTCACGGGCCAGGACGCTTTTTGTCGTCGCAAGGCTTTTGGCAGTTTGTGCGAACGTTCCCCGTCGACTTGCAGTGGGAGATTTGCCTGGCGCTAGGCGAGAACAAACTTCTGGTTTGTGCTTTGCCCGTCGCCGTGGCAGAGCCAGGCGTGTCTGGCCACTTGGTGCATCCACCGTTGGAGGATGTGGAGCTTGCGCTCTTGTCTCTAAGCCTTCCGCTTCGACGACAGCTACTTCACTATCTAGACTTGTGGGATTTGGCTCGTGCTGTTTCAACGTGCACGGAGTTGCAAGATGTTATCATGAACAGCGACTCTTGGAAATGTGACAGCACGCTTTATCTACGAAGTTTGCCTTCGCAAATATTCTTTGCTGCGTCGCCGACGTACCACTTGAATCCAACGGCGTACGCGAGTCTGCGCTCCGTGAATCCACTGCAAGGTCACGCTTGCATTGTCATGTCGTGGGGTTGCCAGGTTGACGCACTTGTGATCGGTGTCACGAACGCATTCGTTTCCAGAATGTCAGACGCGGAAGTTCAACACCTTTGCTCTTGTACAATCACTGCTCCTTTTCAAACAGAATGCAAAACCTGCATTAGGTGGACGGCTTCTAAGCAAGCGCCAATAGACGTATCATGTCCTTTCCTGGTTGCAGATCGATGTGTGCGTGTCTTGGATCTAGCTTGGCAGCAGCATTCGCTCAGACTCAAGGTTGATGGTCGAACGGTGCTTTCTGTCGACATTTCATGTGTTGGCTTGCAGCGCGATGCCTATGTCTTCCTATACTCTATCGGAGAACAAGTGTGCAAGGACAACTTGCAGATGGCCTTCGCAGAACGCCGACGTGAGCATGTCAATGACCTTGCAGGGGGCTCCGATGCGTTGAAGCCGACAGATCCTCTGTCGTGTTTGTCGCAGAGTCTCCAAAGGGAAGTCATTATCAACATTGCCACGACACGCGAGCTGCTGTGCTTGCGAGCTTGCAGCAAATCTGCGTCTGAACTTCTGCGAGAGGATTCACTGCTGCGAGGCTCCGTAGTCGACTTGCGAGACGCAGGTGCGCAAGCATTTCGGCCCGGAAGTGCTTTTAGTTTTTTGATGGCTGTCCTTGCTCAAGCAAAGGTCATCAAGCTGCAGTATCGACACATACATGCTGTCCCGCCGACTTCAACGTCCAGAGTCCTCCTTGAATGGTCAGGACACACTTTCCTTCGGCGCGAAAGCGACTTTTGTTCTTGGCGCGCTCTGCATCCTGTTTATCAGCGTGCCAGCTTGGACATTGCAGTGTCTTCAGATATTCGCACTTTGGTCCTTGGCATCAAGAACCTAGTTCGAAACAGCCCGCCCTCTTCCCGAATGTGGGCTTCTATACAAAATCCATTCGGCTCAGACCCTTTACTAGCAACTCCAGGGGAGGAAACGTTGACTCCATGCGATATACCTCCGCACAGAGGTGTTCGCTGGCTTAACGTTTGCATGGAGTGGAATGCAACCTATTTCGCAGTCTTTCTCGACGATGTCCCACTATGCCACGTTGACACGCCAGTTGACGAACGCGTTATTTCAAGTTGGGCTTATCCTTATGTCGTGTCATGGGCATCTCGCGAGTCTTCTCCTCTAGTAGTGATAACAACAGCATTTTCGCGACCGGAAAATACGGCAAACCCTGATTGTACAATTTGCGCTTCACTTCATCGCGGTCGGCCAGCGCACGCATGCTGTCTTGCTTGTCAACACTGGTTTTGCGAAGAGCATGGTTTCTCTACAACTGCAGCGCAAGTATGTTTGGGCTGTATGGATGAGCTTCACTTTGAAGACCACGTAGGTGGAACGAGTGGTTCTCCGTCTGCAACATTTCTCGATACAAAAAGATTGCAAGCCCTGCGAAAGCAACAGCTTTGCATACCTTCCAGTCCAGGTGCGGCTGTGTCTCTAGCCAATAAACTACCACAAACTGAAATCCGCTTGAGGTCACGAAGCCCAGCAAGGCGCGCGAGAAGCTTCAACAAGCTGTGTCGAAGGTCCGAAGTGCATGTATCCGAACCAGAGTCTGACGAATGGGACTACAATGAGCATGTGCTTCGCGCGAAGAAAGTCTTGGCCAGCACGGAGTTCTCCACTTTTCCAGCCACGTCGCCTCCGCCAGGATTAACATCTCTGTGTGATCATGGGCTGGAAAACCTTTTGCCGCCGCAAATCCGGCTGTCGAGTTTGCCCAGGCCAGTGCTGACATGCACGCCTGTGATTTTTGATGTGGAGCATCTCAAAGTACCTCCTATCTTTGATCATCTCAGTATCTTGCACAGTCATGAGCGTGATCAACATTTGGTCTTCCAAGAGGAAGGGCATCGCTACTATTGGAAGAATGAAAGTGTTAACGTTTCAGTAACTGGCTTGATTCATTTGCTTACTGGCGGCTTTAAAGAGCAAGACGTCATCAGGAGCATGCGTCAAGGGAGTAATTGGCCTCGTGCTGCATACGTGAAGCCGTATGCATCGCTGGAGCTTCTGCAGATTCTGCAACAAATTCCCGGCACGGAACAACTGGTCAGTTTGTTGCAACAGCTGCCGCATGATCGCGCTGCAGTTGCCAATCTCGTTCGGTCCATGATTTATTCCGATGCCGTCTACAACGAACTGGCGGATATCGTTTCTATGACTTCCTCAGAAATATGCCACCTTTGGGCGCAAGCACGCCGCGTTGGTGCGGCGCGAGGAACTTGGATGCATGCGCAGATAGAATGTCTGCTTAATGGCGGCTGTGTCACTTCTTGCAGCTTGGAGGTAGCAAAGTTTTTGCGGTTTGTCGCTGAGGGCGGATTCGGGAACACTTCTGCGTTTCGCACCGAATGGAAGATATACGCTTCTGAAGAATCTCTTGCAGGCTCAATAGATTTTGTGGCACGTGCGCCCGATGGCGCTCTGGTCTTGTTTGACTGGAAGCGTGCTAACAAGTTGTGTGAGAAGCACAACTCGTTCGGCAAGTTCATGAAGTCGCCCATGCACCATGTCCCGGATGCATCGCTCTGGCATTACCGACTGCAACTTAATCTGTACAAATTCATCTTGGAGAGATATTACAACCTGCGTGTCGTTGGAATGCATATCGTGTCTTTCCATCCCGACAGTAGCACATTTGTTGACAAGGTCCCGGACATGCAAGCGGAGGCAAATGCTATCATGACATATCAGCGAAACCGTTTGGCAAACCAAGCTGGTGAAAAAGAGAGAGATTTCCGTGGAGGGGCAGCGGCGCCCAGTCAAGCCAGTGAGGCGGACTCCTTCACGCAACGCATCGAGCAGGAGTTTGAGGATGCACTTGTACCGTCACCTGAGTGTTGCAGGGTGGATTCAAGTGGGCGGCGCGACCATGTCGCCAAAATTCTTGAGATTGACGACGCATTTTTGCTGAACGGTGTTGTTCCAGACCTTCCGCAGTCGCAACAAGGCAGTATTCTCCATGACATCCAAGAAGTTCAAGAACTTGTTGCCGCGCATTCTGACTCTTCCTCGTGGCCGGAGCCCCTCCAGCATGTTGTGCAAGGAGCTATCTCTGTGCATCGCTTGCGTTTACTGGACATCTCACGTCGAGAGGAAGTTCTTTTTCTTGAGCTTATTGAGGGAAGTTCTCGACATGTGCGAGCTCATAACGGCCAGTGTTTCTTTCTGAGTGAACATGGCCACTGGGCCGTGTACAACGGCGTTATTCCTCAGGGTGTCCTTGCCAGATGCAAAAAGTTTTTGCTCTTCCTTGAAGGTTTGTACAGACTCCTACCGACTGGAACACTGCGCACCCCGGACTCTATCATCCGAGCAGTATCAGTCTTGTTGCAGGGTCGGAACGACAACGCAGATTTCCTTCTTCAAGAATGCGAAAGAGCTGCTATTTGCTGTAATCCTCACGCTGCGAAGCGCCGCAAAACAAGGGCGGGCGTGGAAAATGAAAACCGGGATGATTCAGAGGATGAGAACAAGCCATGGACACAGGTCATGGCGAGCACTGTTGGAAAGCTGTACGTCAAACTGTATCTTAGCTGCACGTCATTTCGCTGGCAACTTTGTAAGTGAAACACTGTACATTCCACATCAGTCTCTGCTAAGGCAAACCTCACTGCTGCAAGACTATTTGATTAAGTACTATGTGGAGTGGTGTTCTATTGATGATCCTCGACAGGCTGGATTTTGCACTTTAGATGCCTGCCTGGTCTTTGAGAAAGAGAAAGGCTTGCAGCAATTGCAGAAGGCCGGCTCGAACAACATATACACTTTCCTGCCACACCGGCTGCTGGATCCGGTGCCTGACGATGTCAAGCAGCGAGTCCAACATTTCTGGTACACAACTTATTGGAACAATGGAGAAGCCTTTGACTGTTTTATGTCAGCACTAACTCTAGCTATTCGAGGAGAAAACGTTGATCGAGCCTTCTGGGGAATTGGCTCTGGTGGGGTGGGGCAGAGCCTGCAGACCGCGCACTTGGAAGCAATTCTCGGGAGTTTTCACGCGTGCTTGGACATGAATATTTATTATTCTGACGAGGAGATGCGCAAGCAGGCTGCGTCACTTCTAGGAAAACTTGTCGTTACTGGCCAGGAGTCGGTGCAAGGCAGCCGTAGAGGCATGCGTGAGGACGTGTACAAGAAGCACATGTCGGCAGACAAGCTTCCTGAAAGATTGCCATACGCAATCGAGACACGACTTGTGGAGCTCCGTGGTTGGAAGCGGTTCGAGTTTAACATGTTGCCGAGGTCACTTGCCTGCAAGTTAGTGGTCACACTGTTTTCTGAACTGTCGACCCACACCTTCAAGCATGAACCTCACCAGCAAAGGTTCTTTGGCGTCAGCGAAGAGACTTTCAACTCCTTATTTCGACGATCGTTAGCTGTGCGCTACAAGGCTTTGTTCTTGGAGTTGAAGGACATAACGAACCAAGTGAAAGAGCCAGAGAAGAAAGGCATTTTTCCTAAAGATCCGACGTTGAAAGACTTTCTGCGATCGAAACCTGCGTGTCTCGTCACTCTGAGAGCTGTGTGGAATTACGCTTGCAGACACAGCGCCGCAGACTGCAGAAGCTGCCTGGAGGACTATGTTGTCGGTAAGAAGGATGAGGGTCTCACAGAAGCGTGTGTCCGGGAAGCGTGTGGACTCAAACCTCCTGACACGTCAGAAAACCGGGACAGTTCTCGGCTTCCCGGCTCGGTGACGAGCGATCTACCTGAAACAGACGGCGCAGGCCAGGAAGTAGATCCAGAAGTCTTACGGCTCTTACAACAACAGGCAGATGAGATTGAGGCTTGGATGATCGATGTCAATAAAGACTGGTGCACGCCTTCCCAGATAAAAACGGTCAAGGGCAAACATTTTTGGAAAGCGTTTAGTCGTCAAGATGCAGAGAACATTCTCAAAGCGCTGGCTGACAACAAGCTCATGCTCCAAAGCACTTTGACTCTTCAAAAACAAGGTCTTACCGAGATCTTTGCGCCGCAAATCCACACAGAGAAGTCCATGAAGGAGGTGGTCAATATGGATCATCACGGCTGCACAGTTTTCCCAGAAGTTTACGACTGTGAGGCATTGCGCCAACACATGCTCGAACACAAAGGACGTCTTGCAAATGACAAAGTTTTGCTGCAAGCCCATAAAAAAAGGTTGAACGACTTGAAGAAAAGCAAAGCCAGCGGTGCAGGTGCACCTACAAAAGTACAACGTACAGTCCAGGAGAATCAAGAAAACATGATACAGACAATGGGCGCCCGCCTTCGCATGGAGCAACAACTTTTCGATGACATGCAGAAGTGTGTGGAACAAGATGTGGAACTATTAGAGATGGTTATGCAGCGTACCTATTCGTACAAGCTTCAACACCGCTGTCGGCGCATGGTGGATGGGTTCGGCGCGCAAAGTTTCTCAAGGGTTTTTCGCAATATTGTTTGCAAGAACACACGGGATTTCGATTTCCACGCAAGCATGTTCACCATCGTGGTTCAGATGGTTGACAAACTCGGCGTGGCCTATCATAAAACACTGAAAGACTTAGCAGCTTGGCGTGCTGTGGCTAAGACTAGAGAGAAGGTTTGCGCAGAGATCCTGCAGTGCAGCCAGACCAGAGGAAAAGCTCTTCTTCTTCAGGTAGCTTGCGGTCGAGCTCTGTCCTCAGCCGATGATATTTGCGAGACTGGTCAGAAATTTTTGCATGATCTATCTAAAGAAAGCCGCTGCTTGCGTTGGCTTGCTCGGAGTCAGTGTCCAGATCTTTACCTGAGCGCGAAAGATGGTGCTGCCAGTCTAAAGCAAAGCAGTTGGCCAGAAGCAACGGTCTTTGCTTATTGGTGGAACGCTGCAGAAGACCTTTGTCTGAGCAGCATCTTGGATCTAGTTGCAGATGTTGAGGTGTCGCGCAAGCACATTTCCTTACACTTCGATGGTGTTCTACTGTCGACTGAGATTGTGCAGGCTGTCCAAGAAAAAAACGACATGAAAAGCTTTCCTCTTGTAGCAGAAGCCGCAATTTTCGAACGCACTGGCTTTCAGATCACCATTACTGAAAAGCGTTTCAGGTCACTGGCGCAAAGGTTGTCGGAGTTAGAAGGCACGTCTCTGCGTGTGGACGCTGCTGATGAGACAATGTTGACGCTACTCTCATCGCCTGGTAACTGCATACCTTTCGCGTATGCCTGTGTGACACAAGCCTGGCGTTTTGTGGAGGAGGCAGTCAACCAAGCGAACACTCGCGCAGAGCAAGGTGGCTACAGATGCTACAAGGACTGGACAAAATGCAATCAGCGCTTCCTTCGGCCATGCTTTACGCTGCCTTCACTGCCAGGAACGGATTTTCTTGTGCACGCTAACGTTGGCAGTGCCCCGCAATGCTTTGGTGCGAAAGTCCTACCAGATAAGCAACTTCAAGTCTTCCACGAGCGCAAAGTGTACCTGATGTCTGCTCCTGCCTTGCAGGAAATTCTTGATGAGTCTTGCGAAGCATGCAGCATTGTCTTTTTCTGTGTCCAAAGTACGGAGCCAACAGCAGTTGCTGGAGAGCAGCAGCTGCTGGATCTTGTCGCAGGCGCCAGTTCGAAGGATCGGATGGATTCTCAAGCTGGAGCTTCAGGGGCCGGTAGCGAAGCGACCGAAGCCGACGTTCAGGTTGGAATGCATCTACGAGAGCTCCTCAAAGATGAAGTCAAGAACCTCATTGCGAAAGTTCAACAGAACAAAGGATCAAGCTTCGGGTCGCAGGTCTGCCCTTTATGCCCATGGCGACGCTTCGATAAAAGAAGTTATTTGCTGACACATCTCACAAAACATCACAGCGAAAGCAAGCGCTTCGTGGCATCCGGTACGAAGCAGCTTCGCATTATTGCTGCCATGTACGATGACGATGCTGCGCGCAAGGCTGTTCATGGTAACTATATTCAACGTGCAGCCGAGCTTCTCAGGTGTCAAGTCAAGCCTGGTTGTTCTTCGAAAAGAAACATTATCGACAAGGAGATACGTATGTGCTTGAGCGCGAAGGGTCCATACTTTATGTCCTTGTCGAAAATCAAGGCAGCGAAGGATTTGCGACGCGTTGGCAATGTATATTACAACCAAGGATTTGCGAATGAATTTATGTGCAACGCCGTGGCCAGCCGCGCGTCCTTTCGACAGATTGCAGCAGCTTTCACATCCTCTTCTGCGCGCGACCACGGGGCATTGTGTTCTATGTTGCCAGAAGCAAGCCATTCATTCTGGTGCAACGTGTTGGAGGACATAGTCCAATCACCACAGATCAAATCCAGAGTTCAAACGCTTTTACAAGAATGCGAAGATCATACGGAGTTCCAGTACTTGAGCATTGACGCGACTGTGAAATGCATCTTGGTTCTCTTCTGGTTGGCTCTTAGGACTTTAACTTTTTTGGGCATGGTGGGAACTACAATAAGGAGCCTAAAAGTTAAACTTTTAGGAGGGGTTCAGAAGTCATGCAAGGCATGATGAAAGTTATTGGTCAGGCGCATTTCAACAGCAGTCAAGACGTGCGTGACGCTGCAGCCATTACAGATTCCGAAGCTGCCTACAAACTTCTGACGGTTCGCGGACGAACGAATGCTGTAGTCGGCCTGTGCGGCGTTCGATCAGAAGGCTCCCCAGTGATTTCGACTGCCTTAGCCAGTCTATTGTCACCGTCCCAACGAGCGCAAGTTATTCACATTGCTTCCGATGCACCGAGCGTCGAGCTTTTAGCGACACTCAAGAATACGTTTTCGAATCTACAATCCCTTGGTTTGGACGCGATGCATATCGTGATGGTTTACGAGCAGAACTTCAGCAACAAGAAAACCACAGGCAGCAGATGGTTAGCTACCGTGATGAACAAGTTTCGCAATATACAGGCAGGATGCCCGGCAGCTGCCTGGGGACCTATGTACACTGGACAGCAGAAGCCTTCTTACACAGCTGAAGAAAAGAGACTGTCGGCGTTGATTTCTGACGCAAGTATGCCTGAGGCTGAAGCAGTACACGTGCTGCAGAACTTGGACCCCGACAGTCCTTGGCGAACAGAAGCACAATTCCTGGAAGCCATGGCTGCTATATGTGCTTTGTTTCAGGACGAACTCACAAAAACCACTTTCTCGGGCCCAACGTTACATCGTCTTCTGATTAATCTTACATCTCCAGTGAAAATCCAGTGGCTCTTCAACGACACCCGATATCGGCATGTCTGTTTGCCTTCTCAGACACCGTTGCTGCCTAGCGGTACGACATCTAATGAGTCACTTCATCACGAGCTGAATAGCTGGTTTCATGAGATTGTTTCTCGGTGAAAATTTTGCATTTTTCTCTTTATTCATCGCGACAGAGCTTAGAATAGTTCTTTGTCTGATAAACAAGTGAGAACTCAGGTGGCTATGCATCGCTCCACGCTAGAAACCAAGCTTCTTTTCTTTCAATTCGTGAAACTTGGTAGCCAGAATATGTCATTGTACCATCCTTTGCAACGCCAAAATACACAGAAGCAAATAGCGCATCGTCTGATTGGCATGGCGGACATATGGGATGCCACCACCTGGAAGAAATGGTGTGCCGATCTGAAACAACATGAGCGTATGCCGAAAAAAGCATTGCTTGCTGGCGCAGAGCAGCGCAAGGCTACTCGGGCAGCAGTCAAGGCTACTCAAGCACGTGTCAAGGCAGCGCCAAAACCGCTTCCGAATATTCTTAAGCGGCCTAGCGCCGCAATTCCTCCGCCGCCGAAAAGGCAGCGAACGAGACGCCATCCCTTTGCACTCCGCGTCGTAGCGCCTTTGATTCGCCCAGGACGCCACAAGACCCGTGTGCCAACAGCATGCCAGTAAGGTGGCTGCGTTGCACTTAACTTTGTTTCAGGTCAGATACTTTTTGTACAGTGTACAGGACGCATTGCGTGCGAGAGTCTGAGAGTCTGAGATTGCGAAGCCAAAACATTTTTATTTCGACATGCCCGTCTGAGTGCAAAACATGTAGGCCATTCATTCCTGAGGATGCAGGTCATCAAGTCAATTCTAAAACGGTTCCCCGCCCTCTGCTTAGGCTGGGGGTGGCAACAGGAACGCAGCGGTAACGTACGTGTGAATGCACGGTTAAGGTTTGGAATCACGGTTAAAATTTAGGATGTCGGTTATCGATTCCTTAGGATGCAGGTCGTCGCTGCCCCCGACATCGCCTGACAAGGATAATATGATTTATCGCCTTCCTCTAGGCTCAGCGGCTGGGAGCGGCAACCAGGGCGCGGCGGTAGCGCGCGTGGGAATGCACAGTCAAGGTTTAGAATCAGGGTTAGAGTTTAGGATGTAGGTCATCCATTCCTGAGGATGCAGGTCATCGAGCAATTTCTGAAACGGTTCCCCGGGGTGGCAACCGGGGCTCGTCGGCGGTGTGCGTGTGAACGCACGGTAAAGGTTTGGAATCAGGATTAGAGTTTAGGATGCGTGTCATCGATTCCTTGGGATGCAGGTCATCGAGTTTAGGCTCAAATTAGCATCACGTAATATTATGCCAGCACATATACTGCTGCAGTTCTGCGTCCGAAAAGGGAAATTCTGAATCGGTTTCCGGGACACGTCGGTGGACTGCGTGCAAATCAACGGTTAAAGTTTAAATGAGAGTGTTTAGGATGCAGGCCACTGTCCTTAGGGTGCAGGTCATCGCTGCGCCCAAAAAGGGAAATTCTAAAACGGTTCCCCGCCCTCCGCGTCCGAAAAAGGAAATTCTGAATCGGTTTCTTACCTTGCGTAGGCCGGGGTGGCAGCTGGGCACGGCCGAAGCGTGCGTGTGCATGCACAGTTAAGGTTTAGAATCAGGGTTAGAGTTTAGGATGTCGGTCATCGATTCCTTAGGATGCAGGTCCTCGCTGTGCCCGAAAAGGGAAATGCTAAAACGGTTCCCCGCCCTCCGGTGAGGCTGGGGGTGGCAACCGGGGCGCGGCCATAGTGTGCGTGTGAATGCACAGCTAAGGTTTGGAATCAGAGTTAGAGTTTAGAAAGCAGGACATCGAGTCCTTAGGATGCAGATCATCGAGTTTAAGCTCAAGCCAGTGCGACGTAGTACTTGTCCAGCGCATCTACTGGCGCAGCGCTGCGTCCGAAAAAGACAATTCTGAATCGGTTTCCCACCTTCCGCGTAGGTCATCGCGCGGCGGTAGCGTGCGTGTCAGTGCACAATTAAGGTTTTTAGTCATGGTTAGTGTGTAGGATGCAGGTCATTGGGTCCTTAGGATGCAGGTCATCGATGCGCCCGAAAAGGGAAATTCTAAAACGGTTCCCCGCCCTCCGCTTCGGCTGGGGGTGGCAACCGGGGCGCGGCGGTAGCGTGCGTGTGAGTGCACAGTTAAGGTTTAGAATCATGGTTGGTGTGTAGGACGCAGATCGTTGAGTCCTTATAGGATGCAGGTCATCGCTGCGCCCGAAAAGGGAAATTGTAAAACGGTTCCCCGCCCTCCGCTTCCGCTGGGGGTGGCAACCGGGGCGCGGCGGTAGCGTGCCTGTGAGTGCACAATTAAGGCTTAGAATCAGGTTTAGTGTGTAGGATGCAGGTCATTGAGTCCTTAGGATGCAGGTCATCGCTGCGCCCGAAAAGGGAAATTCTAAAACGGTTCCCCGCCCTCCGCTTCGGCTTGGGGTGGCAACCGGGGCGCGGCGGTAGCGTGCGTGTGAGTGCACAATTCAGGTTTAGAATCATGGTTAGTGTGTAGGATGCAGGTCATTGAGTCCTTAGGATGCTGGTCATCGCTGCGCCCGAAAAGGGAAATTCTAAAACGGTTCCCCGCCCTCCGCTTCGGCTGGGGGTGGCAACCGGGGCGCGGCGGTAGCGTGCCTGTGAGTGCAAAATTAAGGTTTAGAATCAGGGTTAGTGTGTAGGATGCAGGTCATTGAGTCCTTAGGATGCAGGTCATCACTGCGCCTGGGGGTGGCAACCGGGGCGCGGCGGTAGCGTGCGTGTGAGTGCACAATTAAGGTTTAGAATCATGGTTAGTGTGTAGGACGCAGGTTATTGAGTCCTTAGGATGCAGGTCATTGCTGCGCCCGAAAAGGGAAATTCTAAAACGGTTCCCCGCCCTCCGCTTCGGCTGGGGGTGGCAACCGGGGCGCGGTGGTAGCGTGCGTGTGAGTGCACAATTAAGGTTTAGAATCAGGGTTAGTGTGTAGAATGCAGGTCATTGGGTCCTTAGGATGCAGGTCATCGATGCGCCCGAAAAGGGAAATTCTAAAACGGTTCCCTGCCCTCCGCTTCGGCTGGGGGCGGCAACCGGGGCGCGGCGGTAGCGTGCCTGTGAGTGCACAATTAAAGCTTAGAATCAGGGTTAGTGTGTAGTAGGATGCATGTCATTGAGTCCTTAGGATGCAGGTCATCGCTGCGCCCGAAAAGGGAAATTCTAAAACGGTTCCCCGTCCTCCACTTCGGCTGGGGGTGGCAACCGGGGCGCGGCGGTAGCGTGCGTGTGAGTGCACAATTAAGGTTTAGCATCAGGGTTAGTGTGTACAGCGGGGCATTTGAGTCGCATCGCTGTTGATCAGATATCTCCAACCACAGCGGGGAAGCAAACGCAGAGGGTCGCATCAGTTCCTTGTAAATCGCTGTAAATCGCTGGAAATCACTGCCGGACAGTGTTCTGCAAGGTGGCGTGTGTTTGATGTGACCATGATGTGACCCCGTCATATCTACTGGAGCGTCGTGAAATGCATGAGATGCGCCCTTCAGCCCAATATTGATGTGACTAAGATGGCCCGCTGTAGGACGCAGGTCATTGAGTCTCTAGGATGCAGGTCAGCGCTGCGCCCGAAAAGGGAAATTCTAAAGCGGTTCCCCGCCCTTCGCTTCGGCTCGGGGTGGCAACCGGGGCGCGGCAGTCGCATGCATGTGCGTGCAGGTCAAGCTTTTTTAATGAGGGTTACTGTTTCGGAGGCCGGCCATCGAGTTTAGGCTCAAGTCACCATGATGTAGTAGTATTCCAGCACATCTACTCCTGCAACGCTGCGCCTGAAAAACAAACAATCTGAGACTGTTTTCGCCCTTCGCTTCGGCTGGGGGTAGCAGCTGGGCACGGCCGAAAAGTGCGCGCGAATGCACGGCTAAGGCTTAGAATAAACTTAGGGTCATCGAGTCCGATTATTCAATGCATGTGACGGAAAGGCTAGACTTTGGGGATGAGGGTTTCGAGTGGCAGATGCAGGCTGTGGAGTCTCAGATTGTGGGATGTTACTAAAGATGTAGCTGCTTAATCATGAACTAAACTTTGCTTCACAATCACAAGCCCCAGCTTCTAAATAGACCCTATTTTGCTCAGCCACCCCCCCCCCCTCCCCCCCTCCCCCCCCCTCCCCCCTCCCCCCCCCCCCCCCCCTGCCTCCCCCTTCTCCCTCCCCCTCCTCCCCCCTCCACCACCAGTTTTAAAAATCGAAACTTTCGTACGAAACTTTCGTACGAAACTTTCGTACGAAACTTTCGTACGAAACTTTCGTACGAAACTTTCGTACGAAACGTTTCGTTCGAAACGTTATTGGGACCCAAACCCTATACAATTTCTATAAACCCTAAACCCTAAACCCTAAACCCTAAACCCTAAACCCTAAACCCTAAACCCTAAATCCTAAACCCTAAACCCTAAACCCTAAACCCTAAACCCGACCCTAAACCCTAAACCCCAAACCCTAAACCCTAAACTTCTAAACCCTAAACCCTAAGGGGGAGCATCCCGAGGCTCATCGCTCTCGAGCTCCTCCAGCTTCACCGTAAGGGCGACTGGAAGTGGCAGCGGCTCCGGCGGCACCCACACCCTTAGGGTTTAGGGTTTAGGGTTTAGGGTGTTGGGTTTAAGAGAATCAAACCCTAACCCCCAAAACCCGAACCCCGCACCCCAAACCCTAAACCCCAAACCCCAAACCCGAAACCCCACACCCTAAACCTGTACTTTCCCTCATTGGGTTTAAGAGGACCACGTTCAAGAGTATTGCCATCCTAGGTTCAAGTCTCCAGCCTCCGGCCCTTGTTCCCGGTTACCCTAAACCCCAAGAAACCTAAACCCTAAACCCACAAGAACCCCGAACCCTAAATCCTATAACCCCTCAAAAATCCTAACCCCTATAGTAGAAGCCAAAAAGTTGGAAACTCAATAGCCTGAATCCCTAAGAGTAAAGTATAGGGAATCCCAGCACTATTTGGCCTTAAAACGGTTTCCAACTTTATGGGGTTTACTGTAAACCCTAAACCCCCAGAACCCTAAAACCCGAGTCCCAAACCCTAAACCCTAAACCCCAAGAACCCTAAACCCTCTAGCCCCTATTAGACC